ATCCGGGTTGGAAACAACTAGCGCTTTTAGTTCACGTGTCCGCCGCCTGTGACCACTCGCAACTACGCGAGCTCCAACCTGTGTAGATAACCGTGATCAAATCCTTTGTAAAGTTTTAGTTTTTAAATATTTTTAGTGCTTGGAGTTTTTTTACTGGTTTTGATGCCTTCTTGTGCTTTCTGAAAAACAATCAATCAGACAATTTCTTGTCTGATTTGACAAAGCAATTACAAATCCTTGAAATAGATCAGAAAATCTAACACAGGGCACTTATTCATCTATTTGAGGGAGTAGTTTTTCCAACTGTTGTTCACTATTTACTTTTCCAGTAGCTCATTGTGTTTTATATACTTTTGTACTTATGTTGTTACTTGAAGTGTACATGTATGAGTAAGAAGTACATATATATCAGTTACCATTCAATTTTTTGTTTGGTATGGAATGCACTCCCCAGTCCCCACATATCAATTGGTAAAGTAATACTTCGAGAAATGTTACAGTAATATGTTGTGGTAATTATTAATCTGAAATTCATAAAAAATAGTTTAAAAACTGAAGTTAAAATATTGAAGAACGTGAATTTTATTTTTTCATTTATCTTACCAATGTCATACATTTTGATAAAGCTCATTATCAAATTGTGCCTCAATTATTTTACTATATGTATTTAATATATTTGGCACAGAAATCGTTGTACTAATTTTTAAATTTCTCTCTTATGTAGGAGCTTTTTTTATTTTAAAATCTGAAAAACTATGTAGAACACCTAAGAAGAAACTTGAAACAGATTTTTGGTATCACAGATGATTTTTTCACTCTATGTATGAATTAGTGTTTCATCTGGAATCTTACACTTATCACTTGTCACTTTACAATCTTCTTTAAGGTAATAAGCACATACAACACTATCAGATCTCTATCTTTCCTTGGAATTATAACTATAACTAATAACTAATAATATATAAGTAGCTTTAGTTTTTTAATTATTTACTTTCCATACCATATATAACCATAAGTGTTTATATGAATTTTATTTTATTTAAGGGTTAAACATTGTAAGCCGCACAAACAGTATGAATCTTTTAACATTGAGTAAGCGTACCGACTGTTCTTTATGCCCACTCATAAGATGGGCAATCTAAGAAATTTAATTATAAACTAATTTTTATTTATTGTGTAAATTATACTTAAGTAAATCTAAAATTTAATATCCATGTTTAATGTGCATGTTTATAATATGTTATTATGTTAAAAGTGTTTATTAATTATTAGAATTATATTTAGATGTATAATAAATAAATTATAGATATTTTATGTTATCGCCCTACCTTTATTATTAGGCGTATGGTGTATTTATAACTATAATATTAATCGAACTAACAAACTATAATTTCAGCTGATTTTTTAGTGCTCTAAATGTCTAAAAACTCCTCACTTCTATGCAAAATATGTTTTAAGTCCATTTCAAATAAAACAGATTCTGATTTATATTAATAACATGAATTACATAAGCACAAAATTATAAAAACATAATGATGTAAACTTAAAAAAAAAGAACATAAATGTGAGCCTAGGTTAAGTTAAAATTTTAACTTTTTTAAATTTCATTAGTATTGCTTAAACATCTACTTTTTTAATATTTCAAATCATATAACTGGCTATTAATGTATTAAAAAAAAACCTTAACTTAAATTTATAAGTTTATTGTAAGTTTCCCTATAACTTTTAACTAAGCTGATTCATAACAAAATAAAGATAACTATTCACTTTAAACTTTTTAAAATGCTTATCAACTTAACATATAGTTAAAAAATATCATTAACCGGCCCAGACCTGTATACATTTTTGTTTAAAAAAAGCACATTCTCAATATATGTGAATAGCATACAAACTGGTGTACTGCAAACATGAATAATAAAGTATTGATTTTGAATTGTATTGTATGTCATTAATCATTACTAATTCAAGAAATTTACCATGAAAATTGAATTAATTTATTGTTGATCTATATGTTATAAAATAAAACAGTATTAATATTTGTACAACTCATGGGTTTTGCCTTAACATAAGAGGTACAAACAATTGAAATATATTATTGTAAAATAATAATGAAAATTATAATCATAATTTTAATCATAAAACCAATTAATATAAACAACAATGATTTTATTAAAAGTTGTTTATTATACATAATATAAATGAAATATTTATAATTGACAAAATGCAAATCTGGTACATATAATTATAACCTCCAGTCTCCATCTATAAATGTTCAAGAATCTTTGCTATTCAGTGATAATTTAAATTGTTTTTATTTTATGAATATGTTTTTGACAGAATTTTGATTTTGTATTTTGAAATAATATACACCGTATCCCTTTCGTACCATTGATAATTTATCTGTAATTAAACATCAGTTAATTAAATTTTGTTCAATAAATTTGAAATACAATATGTTTATTAAAAATGTTTACTTAATTTGATTACATTGTTTACCACTTATGTAAAATACATTGGTTATTGTTTAAAAATGTCATGGACCCTAGCTCTAATAATTTAAGGAGTCATGTTAATGCATTACCTTAAAATTATGTTGTGATCATAATTATTCATATGTTTGGTTCTTATCATGTTGTGACGAATTACATTTACAGTTCTTATTTCTGTACTGCAAGTTTAATTCAAGAATTAGTGGTATGGATTTATAACATTATTAAATATGATCTTACCTCATGTAGTAAGTCTTTTTCTAATTCCATTGTTAATATTTCAGAAAGAAGCATATTATCATCAGGTTCTTCATCACTTGAAACATCAATCGCACACCAATCTGGTTGAGTATCACATCCATCGGAGTCATTTATTAATATTTCTGCGTGATTTATATATTTTTGTCGATCAGGCCATTGATATTTTGTTTTTTTTTTACGATGATAATTGTGATCATGTGTGACATTTTGATTGTTCTTTATATTCAGCTTAATAAGCTTAATATTATGGGTTTGAAGTGTTTTTCTCATAAATTGTTTATCTACTTGAATATTTCTCGTCATTCTGTAAATGTTATTTTTTTAAACAGTTATTAATCCACATTCGTTTTTAATTTTACACGTCAAATAACTATTTATTTATTATTAAGATAAATCAGATATTATTGATATTGATAAATTACAAAAATAACTAAGTTGATAAATTAATTTTTATTTATAAATTATGATTTAATGAGATTGTTTGGAAAATTGTTATACGACTTAAACCCAATTGATATTTGCATGCATTTTTACTGTGAAAAAAATGAAGATAGAGATCTGTTTTATATTTAAAAAAATATTTGGTTCCAGGTTAATAAAAAAATGGTGGGCAAATGGGTACCACCACTCTGCTACACAGATGATGTCAAGTGGATCATGTTAATGGATGCTTAAAATTTGAATTCAATGATTTATCATTGTATACAAAATATGAGTCTTAGTCGGTCAGCCTATATTATTAGGCTATTGCTATTTAAGTATTAGCTTTACTAATAATGGTACGGTAGGTTGATTTAATTTTTATCAAAAACATTTCATTTATCATATTAATTAATATTTAATTACTAAAATGGTTTGAATTATTGTCATATTATATTATTGCTATTAACTTTAGAGTCAATACCATCTTACTATTGAAAACTAACTATGTAAACAGGACCATGATATAGATTAATAGGTAAAATATTAAAATTAATCAAAACATTTTGAAAATGTCTTTATGAGTGTAGTCAATTTATAACACATGTTATAATATTTAAGTCCCCATGAATAATGTTTTTGAATTACAACAAAATAACTAACATTATTATCAAATATTTATAATTTCATCAAAATGCTTGTAACAAAAAGTTGCCCATTTGAAATGTTTAAATAGATATATAAACAACTTATGATTAACCTTGTTATATTTTCAAACTTTTTGACCAAGAAAAATGTTTATCTGTCTTGATAAGAAAAACTAAAAATAAATAGATATGTTTTGAATGTTATTCCTGAGCACGTTAAATGTTAAAACTTATAATTTATACATTCAACAACATTTAAAATGCACATTTTTTGGTAAAAAATAATCAACTTAAAGTAAATCTTAATAATAGCGTTACTAATAGTAAAATAAATTAGGTAGGTACCTAAAGTACCCTTTCTACTTTAATAGAAATATAATTCAAGTATAATAAGATATATTTAGTAGTTTTTAAAATAGGCTGACTTTGCTCAGAATCGTAAAATAATATAAACTTTTCTTTTCTTTCATCTTCAAAAAAATGTTCACTTTGTGAATCAACTGCAATCTTTGTCACTATATTTTTAATGTGTATCTTAATTAAGAAGAACAAATTAACCTAATTTTTTTAGATCACATGTATCTATAGTTGTTATTTCATAGATAGAATGAAAAATAAGCTTACTATACTCCTGTCCGCAAAAAACAATTTCATAATCATCATTTATCTCTCTAAGAGAGAAAACGTGTGATGAAAAAAAAACTTTCTAATCAAATGTAACTAATGGAAACCCACAAACATAGGTACATTTTATTAGTTCAATATTATAATGAAATAGTTCTAGATGTCAAGATATGCTAATTGATTAGTCCACTTTGCCCTTGAGAAATTGAGAGATAAAATCTAAAATTATATGTTTATCTATTTATTAAAAAAACATGAATTATTTTTTGCAATTTTAGGCCAGCGAATATTGAGTTTCAAAACTATTCACTTTTGGAGCCGTGATTTGAACTTCAGGATTCACAGTTATATCTTGAACCGTATGTTAATTGTTTGAAAATAATATTTTTAAATCGGTAAACAGATAATGAATAAATAATAATAAACCTTACTTTAAATAAAAACGTATAACCAAGAATGATGATCCAACATAAAGTAGTTCTAGTTCGTTGATAACAACATGACAAATATTTTGAAACAATATTATAATTTAAAATTAACCATATGTATACACATTGATTACAAAAATTACAAAAAACAATAGCAACTAACAAAACACAATTTTTATTTATTATGAATATAGATCAATAATCGTTGTTAAATACAATTTTGGTGATTACGACGCGTTATCACCACTTACGCTAGCGCGTCCGTTTTTATATTGTCGTTACCATTTTGTCATTCGTTCCTATCTTTGAATTATTAATATTTTGTGTTATAAACGTTTTTGTCCGCATATTTTATATTTAATTTTGTATTGTCTTTGATCGCTCCGCTACAATTTTCTCTCCCGCCTCGCACACAGACTTTTCGCCGTTACGGGCTCGAAGCCTCTCACGTTTTACAATACACATCACTAACTCTTTCTTTCGCTCTCTAACCGACTCGAGCAGCCCAACGTCTCGGCTCTTAAACCGACGACCCGAGCATACCGATCCCCAAAATATTTTATTATTAATGTGCTCATGTAGAAATATATTTTTTAAATACCTATACTTGCGTTTTGTTCTGTTTACGGCCTTAATTTTTATACCTTCTGATACAGGAGAAAAAGTAGTGTTCTACCAGCATCTCGTATCACGCTACGATTACAACCGTCTTGGAAGTACCGGTAGACACCACACAATTAATGATAAAATCCTGTGCTCGAGTGTGAGTACTATTTAAAAGCTGTCTGTCTCTTATCCACATTCCGGACTGCGACACCTCTTATTGTTAATATAGAAATTGCCAATCCATTTGTATTATAACTATGGTTCAAGGATAACAATTGGTACAATTATTTTGGTAACATTTACCTTAACAAAATAGATGACTCGGACAAAAACTGATTGGTCCACAAATCGTTTCACGCCAAAAAGTCACTTGTCAAATTAACGTACGACATAAAGCCGCGCGATAGCGACAAAAAGTCATTCAACAAGTTACCATTATCATAATCCGACAAAATGCCACCAGACATAAAATAAGTAAGTCTATACGCAGTCAATTAGACCACCACCGTCGTTATCATTTTGTTATTATCAAAAACAAAGTTGTTATCATATCGTATCATCCATTATAATAAATACATACATTACATT